CAGAAAACCATTTCAGCAAGACCCTACATTTAAGAGAGGGTTAATTATAATAAACAGGATATCTATTTACTACTTATCTAAGGAATATAATTTGCTACCGAAACCAACGAATTCCTCACAGATAATTCCATATACTTCAAAAAAATGTGCAACAGTTACAGATTCTAAGCAGATTATTAAGCAATTACAGTTAAAAAAAAAAAAAATCAAAGCAAAGCAAGGCATACATGAATTTAACGACGAATTTGAAGTTAAACCTTATTAAAACTCTATTGCTTAAAAATTTAAGTCTCGAACTGTTAATATCCGCAGTTCCCTCATATTTAAGAAAAAAAAAAAAAACCCAGGTATAATTAGAATTACAACGTTTTAATAAATAAATAAATAAAAACTCAATAAATCCATAACAATTGTTGGGGTAACAATTTCATGAGATAAGGGAAATTTAGAAGCAAGCATTATAGATGGTAAGAATTGTAAGAACTTTACCGTGGAGGTGGCAACAGATCAGAAGAGGGAAAGTAGCGAAGGACAGACAAAAGGAAGTTCAAAAACAAGAGGCGCTTTGGCTATAGATACAAATAATCTAAAATATAGGTGTTTTTTTATTGTATATTTTAAATTTGTAAGTTGTGAAAATTTAAATATTTAAATAATATTATATTGAAAAACATTAGCATCTACTCTCCTAGGCCTAGGTGTCAAAAGGTACCACATACGCCCTAGCCCATTGGCATGGCACCACAAGAAATGTATTAATAGGTAGGATTTTGCTATGTACACATCGGGGTTGTGTACAAGCATCTTCACAATAGGGGGCTCACGATTTTTTATTAGTCGTGGTCCCCTCTACTGTGAGGGAATTATACGCTGGTGTGTCAATTTCGGTGTACAAATAGCGAAACCATAATCGGTATTGCCAGAATGCATCACATTTCAAAACTTTTAACTAATTATAAAGGATTTTGCTACATATATATCAAGATTTACATAATGCTACGTGATATTTTATTATTTGTCAGTTTAAAACACAATATTTTCCATCCAATATTTTACTTCCACATCATATTATGTACAAATAGCAAAATCCAATTATTAATACAATCGTGCTACATATACATCATTCTTTAAATTTTGTTACGTGGCAATACATTATTGGACAATTTTAAAAAATAAACAAATTTTCCCCAATTCTTTTTTAACAACAGATCAAATGTCATGGTGTACTTCTAGCATCTAGCATTTTTGTTATAAATAAATGCTCATACGAGGTTATTCTATAATAAAATAAGATAGTTATAAACGTTTTAGCCCTTGTTTGATTGTCATTTTTTTGGAAAATATTTTTTTAATAGTGAATTTTTAGAAAATGCGTAGTTAAAAAGTAAGAAAAAAATTAATTTACATATAGAATATTTTACTGTGTAAATATGTTGTTGAAAATGAGTATGTAGAAAAAAAAATTTTAAAAGAAGGGCATTGCTAGTGGACTAGTGGTACATAATTTGGGTTATATAAGAGTATTCACCCTCTCACATAAGGGGGACCCACTTAAAGAAAATATTTTTTATTCATGTGGGTCCCACCCCCATGCAAGGGGGTGGGTCCCCTTATGTAACCAAAATCATGTACAACTAGAAATATCCTTAAAAGAATGAGAAAGAAACGGGAGATTAATTCTTTTGTTCAACTATTCATATATTCAGGGGTGGAGCCAGCCCATCGAAATAGGGAATCCCAGAGTTGAAGGGATGGGGGCCCACGCTGCCCCCGAAATTTTTTTGTGAAACATTATTTCTTAAAATTGGGGGAGTTGATACTTTGTGATGGAGAAAGGAAACAAATGAATATAAATTAATGTACATTACTAACAAAAAAAATCAAGAAAACGTATAAAAGAAAGTATTAATCTTT